TGCTGCCGCGCCGGCGTCCGCCGGCCTCGATCCCCGAACCTCTGTATTGCCAACCCACATGTCGTAACCTATAGGGCCAAGCCCAAGCCTGAGACTAGTGCCGGGAGAGTACCATACGAGGTAGTGTGGCGCTGCGCTTTGGGCCAGCAAACGGTTGTGTGGCTCCCAGTGCCCGCGCTGGCTTGCTCACACCGTGCCATAATTGCCCCGCGCTGTCGTCCTACGACAGCCCGCTTACCGCACGAAATCACGCCGTTATTGCCGATGTCGTCGGGGTCGTTCTCTGCACGCGCGTTTGACTCGGTCAAATGTACCAATCAAACTAAAATATCCTTAATTCCTGCTTAATCAAAAATAAATAAATAATAATATCACTAAGCAAAACGACCGAGGTCCGGACCGGCTTTACGATCAACAACAGAAAAGAATCACGCGCGCCTTAAACCTGCGCGCCCACGCACTCGCTATTGTGGTCAACCACCCAGTCCACGCAATTACAAACGCAGCCGTGCTTAGCGCGGTATACTTAAATTTTAAACCAAACAATTTTCTGTTACTTGCAAAAACCAGGGCGGATACCCTTGTAAGGGTATTCGCACCGACAACGCTGGCGCGTCGCCCCCCGAGGTCCCTCAGGAGGACCTCCCTCAGGACTTCGTCCCTCCTCGCGGTGTCCTTTTCGCTGAGGAGCGCGCGGCTATTATGGGTCGACGTGGGTGTTTGCGCTGCCGCTTGGACGGTCATACCTCCTCGCGGTGCCCTTACACTACCGCCCTCGACCGCCACTATGCTGACCATTCTCGTCATTGTCGTGCTTAGTCCCCCCCCGGCGCCTCATGTCCCCGCCGCGCCTCCTAGCCACGGTGCAGTGTACACCTGCGCCCTCCTCAGTAGTGGGCTTTCCGACATCTCCGTCGCGGTTCGCCCCTCTCGCTATTAGAGTTGAGGTATCGCAGGACTCGACAGAGTGTACTCAGCCCTCTGTCGCAGTACCGTCTGCGCCTCCGCAGACCACCGTCTCCCCTCCTTCCCTGCCTCGACTACTGACGAGTCGAGCCATTTGCTCAGCCCGTTGCAGCGAGCAGTTTGCTACTCGCGAGGACATTGTGTCCTCTCTTCTGGACTTGAGTATGCACTACGTCGCCTTCTCACCATCCTCTCTGGACTTAAGTATGCACTACGTCGCCGTCTCCCCCCCCAGGCTCGTCAGGAGCGACTCACCCTCCATGTCGCTGCACTACGTCGCCTTCTCACCATCCTCTCTGACCATGATCGCACCCTCCCGATCATCCCAGTACGACTCGGGACCTCCACGAGGGTGTACTCAACGTTGTGGGATTCCGATTCTCAGGGCGACTTCATTCACCCATGCGTGGTGAAGGAAGCCCGCTTATTCAAGACAGGGTCTCCGACTCCCATCTCCGTTACCCTAGGGGATGACAAGACCCAACGCTTCTTCGATCAGACGGTCACCGACCTCCCCTTCTTCCTCACTCTCGAGCCGACTGATCGTTCCCCGGCGTCTCGTCGCCACCGCTCCTTTGCACATTTCGATGTGATGGAGACGGGGTACGACTTCATTCTCGACACTCCGTGGTCTCGTCGGTTCCGCAGCACCGAGGCCGATTGGGCGACCAACACTCTCGTTCTCAAAACGAAGTGTGAACAGATGTATCGCGTACCTTTCATAGGTACCACGGCGGCACCACGCCCCGATCCTCCTCCCCCGGAGCCTTCAGTGCCCACACCATCTCCCTCTATCACTGTCACCTCGCCTCGGCAGTTCGCTCACTTCATTCGACAGGACGACGTCACCTTCTTTATGGCGGACGTGACGGATCTCTTACACTATGATCCACCCTGTCCCGAYGYCGAGCTCAWCCCTYTGGAGCCAGATCCTCCCTCTATCTCCATGGCTCCCATCTCTACTTCCGTCCCTCCGCTGTCCGTCGAGTCCACCCCGCCGTCGCGCGCTGACGCTGACATTGAGGAACTCGCACGATATACGGCTGACTTGGAGCCCGCAGTTCGTGACCTCATCCGAGAGTACCACGACGTTTTCCCATCGACGTTCTCGTACGCCGGCATCCCACCAATGCGTGACGTCGAGCACTCCATTCAGCTTGTGTCTGACTATCGTGTTCACCACCAGGCACCCTACACACTCTCGATCCCCGAGGCCACCGAACTCAAGCGTCAGCTTGAGGAGCTCCTGAGACTGGGTTTCATTAAACCCAGCAACTCCCCGTGGGGTGCACCCGTCCTCTTTGCTCGCAAAGCGGACGGAACTCTCCATCTCTGCATCGACTATCCCGGTCTCAACCGCTACACGGTTAAGAACAACTACCCCATGCCTCGTTCCGATGAGTTGTTCGACCGCCTAGCAGGCAACTGCTTCTTTACGAAGATTGATCTTCGTAGCGGTTAACATCAGATCCGCGTCGTTGCAGCCGACCAGCCGAAGACTGCGTTCCGATCGCGATTCGGCCACTACGAGTTCACGGTGATGCCATTCGGCCTCACTAATGCTCCCGCTACCTTTCAGAGGGCGATGAACGACATCTTCAGGGACATCCTGGAGCAGTACGTTCTCGTCTGCTTCGACGATATCCTGGTCTACAATCGTACCCTTGAGGAGCACCTCAGACATCTCCGCGACGTCCTTGACCGCTTGCGCAGACATGGCTTCTACGCCAAGCTGAGCAAGTGCCGCTTTGCCCAGCACAAAGTGGATTTCTTAGGACACTACGTGTCTGACCAGGGTCTCCACATGGACGACGCGAAGATCGCTGCTATTGCGGAGTGGCCCGCTCCCACATCCGCCAAGCAGCTTCGCAACTTCCTAGGCCTGACCAGCTACTACAGTAACTTCATCCGGGGATACGCTAGGTATTCCTACGTCCTTACCTCCACCCTCCTCTGGAAGAACTCACCCTGGGCTTGGACACCCCTCCACGAGGACGCCTTCCGCGCCCTCAAGAAGGCGGTGACATGTGCACCGGTTCTTCACCTACCCGATTTTGACCGCCCTTTTATCCTTATTACCGATGCGTCAGACTTGAGGGACTTTATCCCTGAGGGTCATTGGCAGTCCATCTCGATGGACTTTATCGGTCCTCTTTGTCCTCCGACCCCTCGCGGTCATGATGCTATCCTGGTCGTCGTCGACCGCTTCACGAAGCGTGCACGCTTTGTTTTGTGCCGCTATGCCATCAGTGCACGTGAGGTCGCCGACATCGTGTTTGACCGAGTCGTGCGTGACCACGGCTTACCTCTGAGCATCATATCTGAACGTGACCTGCGCTTTACCAGCCGATTCTGGCGACGCGTCCACGAGGTATACGGCACTCGGCTCCGCTTCTCCTCGTCTTACCATCATCAGACTGATGGTCAGACCGAGATCACGAACAGGACTCTCGGAGATATTCTTCGAAAGATTGTTCGTGACGACCAGCAGTGGGATCTTCATCTTGCCCACGCAGAGATAGCCTACAACCACGCCGTCTCGCCAGCCACGGGGATGTCGCCTTACTATTGCGACCTCGGCTATCACCCTCGTGTTCCCGCAGACTTCCTTCGACCGTCCCAGCTGCACCCCGACACGAGTTGTCCCGCGCTGGACGATTGGGTTGCACACATGACGTCGATCATGAAGACCGCCCATGAGCACATAGCCGCTTCCCAGACTCGCATGGCAGCACGTGCGAACCGATCGAGGATGGATCATTCATTCAAAGTCGGTGATGATGTGCTTATCGAGGCCCGCCACTTATAGCTCGAAGCGAACACGCTTCGCAAGTTTTGGCGTCGCTTCTTTGGCCCATGCCGCATCCTCCTGGCCGTCGGTTCTGATACGGCATCTAGCCCGGTCAGCTTCCGTGTGAAGCTGCCCGACAACCTACTCCAGGCTCGTGTGCACGATGTCTACCACGTCTCGTTACTGCGTTCTTACCGCAGACCGTCTGAGCGTTTCGTTGGACGACCATACGAGCGCCCTCCACCCATCATGGTGGACGGTTACGAGGAGTTCCTCGTTTCAGACATCATTGGTCGCCGAGTCACCGACGACAACCCTCCCCACGTCGAGTATCTCGTACGTTGCAAGGGTTACCCTGATGAGGAGGCTACCTGGGAGCCCCTCGGGCACTTGCAGCGCGCTCGCATGTTGGTGCGTGCCTATGACCATGCTCGTCGTGCTGGGTTCACTGCTCCTCAACCCACTGACCCTCCTCCTTCTCCTCCGGCTGAGGAGACCGCTGAAGTCGAGCCTGCTCCATCTGAGGCAGACCTTCAGCAGCAGCCGGATGCTTCTGAGCGTCCACAGCGCACTCGTCGTCATCCTGCTCGATACAACGATTGACTCTGACTTACCTTCCCGCGTCTTTGACTTCTCAGTACTCCATCCACATCAGTTTTGCTACTTCAGCTCGTCGACGCTGCGGCTCTTCCTCGACGGCATTCCGGACTTCTCATCGTGGACGTCATTGCCAGCTTCATGGACTTCATCACGATCCGCTCTGCCTACTTCAGACGTCGCCACTCTCTTACCACTCTACCCTGTACAGTACCCTGCTTGTGTCGCATGATGGTCTCCCTTTAGGCGGGTTCCTCTGAGTTGGGCTCTCCCTTGGTATACGCATAGGCATCGGGACCGTAGCGTTGCCCTGGCTGCCTGTCTTACGGATCTAGCTGCGACTTCCCTCACTTAAGGAGTCATTTGCATGATTCCCTTACCCATCATCTTTCTACCCTTCGCCGACCCTCACGCCCTAGTTGGGCAGCCCCGCATGCTTCATCTAGGTGCGTCCAGTATACCAGGCTCCCTTATTCCCATGGTCGACCCTCCATAGCGGTCACCCCTTAGTCGAGCATTACCCGCCTCGATGGTCATTGGTTCTGTTCGCTCTCAGTTCCCTACCCTCATTGAGCCTGATGACATGTGTCGCGCTGTTATCTATGTGTGGATGCCCTTAGGAGTTTTCGACCTCTAGGCTGCATTCGCCACCCTCACAGACCATCCCACCCTTTGGTTTGCGACACACTTCTCATGTGACATATGATTGACTTGTTGCTTTGTTGCTCTCAGACTGAGGCTATTGCCTCTGACATTTCTAGGATTTAGTTGTTCTGCTTTTGCCGTTCTTAGGACTTATACACTAGTCAGTTGTTCCCAGACTGAGGCTACTGCCTCCAACATTCTAGGATCTAGTTGTGACTACTTTTTGCTTTCCTAGGACATGTATGCTAGTTAGTTGCTTTTGCTTTCCTAGGACATGTATGCTAGTTAGTTGTTTTTGCTTTTACTTAGGCTGTTAGCTGTGACATTGTTGTTTTGTGACAGTTTGTATCCTAGGTTGCATCGCATGGACTCAACATGGAGCTTGCTCCGCATCCAAGACTACTCAAGTTTTTTTTCTTTGGTAGAGTTCCGCTTTTTGGCGGAAGCGTGCTTGTATCTAGGCGATCCATCACAGACCGAGGATCGTGTAGCGGACCTCCGGTGGGTCTGTGAGACGAGCCCCTTGGCCTGTTCTCACAGGCCTGTGTTTTATTCGGGGCAGTCCAGTCCAGGCCGGTACGTTTGTCGGTACCAGCCAGTCCAGTCCAGTCCCGTCAGTCCGCTGGTGTATACCGCAGCCTTTGTCAGTTTTCGAGCTCATTCATCACTTGCACATTTTGGAGTACGTGCGTTGGAGTCGTGCGTGAGGAGCTGCGTTGTGCCATCTCGCTCCCCCCTTCTTCCTCCATCTCCATCTCTACCACTAGCGGAGCACCACACCTGGTGGGTCCGCTACAATATTACTGCTTGATCCTAAGGGATTTCTCGGGGTTCTGAATTGGGCCCTCATGATTGATGCTCTCCGATAGTCAGCAAGGCTATAGGACAATTTTCTCTGGATTGATATACAATGCCCCATGCGAGAGCCTACTCGGTAAGGTTCTCAATATCATCAAGGTAATACGGAATAGACTGGTGATTGTCCTCAAATGAATATTGTTCTTAGTCCCTGAACCTATAATGTTTTAGATCCATAATCATCAGACGATGTTCCTCTCAGAGTCTGAAATCCAAAGCAGCGGTGCAGCAATAGCGCGGTCTGCGCGGACTACGATCCTGCCACTTTCACAAATGAAGTTGGTATCGCTCCACTTGCGCTGCACGCTTCGCTCTTCTCCTTCTCTCGGTCAAACCTTTCCTACAAAAGATTCTGCTTTTTCGCCACACCTTCACTGGGAATTTGCGATTGCTTCGTATTCCCTAGGACCCCCACCTCTCTGCTTGCTGACAATTGCAGAGGCGGCTTTGTTGGGCTCATTGTTCCTTGCTCTCTCTCTCTCTCTCTCTCTCTCTCTCTCTCTCTCTCTCTCTCTCTCTCTCTCTCTCTCTCTCAGCCCTGGCCAAGTTGGCCAAGGCTGCGGATGAGAAATTGATCTGGTCGCTTTTTTGTACATTTTTCAGGGAAATATGAGGACTCGGTATTAAGTTCTCTATTTTGGTACAAGTTTGACGAAGCTCGCAGGGGGGTATGGGCAGGAGGTTCGCTGTCGAATTCTATAATTTTGCGAAGTCGGGTGTGATAGCGGGTCTGTCATAGGGCCATAGGCAAAGAGGGGTCGTAACCGGTCGGATCCGACAAAGTAGGCAGGATCAAAGGAGGTTGTTGAGGGAATTAATTGATATTTATGTGGGAATGCAAGGGGTAGTCCGGGATCCTAACGTTCCGATGTTGAACGTAGGAGCTGGGAATATGGGAACCCCTGGTACGGTACGAAACGTTATGAAATGATAATTTTGGCAATTCGGTGAGTTGTATCGGACCAAGTTTATGGGGCACTCAGGTTGACCGGTAATTATAGGGTAAGTCCTTACTGCTATAGATGGGCGCGACTGGAACAGGCGATAGTGCGATACATACGTTGAAGGTAGGAGATGAGTGTCGAAGTGTTCTTGGAGTATTTGTATCAGACGGCAAGGCTCATGGCCGTCTCTTCTGGCAGAAGGACTTTTTGTCCACCCTCCTGATGAGTGTCGTTTCGGAATGGACGAAACTGGTTGAGGGACCCGCTTTGCCGACAGGATTTTGGCTTCCTGCATTTTTGTGGGCACAACTTGGTCTTGTAGTGACGCCTATACTGAGTGGCGCAAGCTTTGTTTTCGTTTATAGCCTTTAGGCTATGGAGTTCTGAACACAGTTTGTATTTGAAAGTCATTGCTGTGTGATGTTGGTTTTGCTCACACGAACTGTTTGCCGTATTTTGCCTCAACTCAACTCTCTCTCTCTCTCTCTCTCTCTCTCTCTCTCTCTCTCTCTCTCTCTCTCTCTCTCTCTCTCTCTCTCTCTCTCTCTCTCTCTCTCTCTCTCTTCCTCCTCCTTCCAGGGTATCTCGACTTTCGCCATCCTCGTCGCGGATTACCTCTACTTGTGTGCATATCCGGTCGACTTGACTCCATCTGCAAGGACGCTCATGTGTTCAATGATTTTCGTGATGAAGGAAGTTGCGCTTCAGCTGGTTATATCTTTGTTGCTTGTGGAACTCATACAACGAGTTCTCTCTTGGGCTATATTGCATCGTTGTTATTTGCTTCTTTTAGATAAGTGTCGCTCCTACTTGGCTCTGTTCTTCTTCAAGAACCCTCCGACTGTTTCTCTAATGCTTAGCTATTTAAAGTCCTTTGGAGTGTAGTGCTCATCATCTTGGTCCCCTGCAATGCCCGTGAGGATGATTGGCTGGTTGGCTCCAATCGAAACATGGCAAGCACTGCTAAAGTCAATCTTCTTCAATGGTTTGGGCATCTTCTAGCACTATTGCATCCATGGCATCCGAGTAGCCTGATAGGAGCTTTATCATGATTTTCACGATATTATCCCAAGTTTTAATCGCTCCGGCTTCAAGTGACATTGTTGTACTCGATTGTTTTCGGCTTCCTCCCATCTTTCCGTGCATCGTTCTTCTCCTTCTTTCTATTCTCCCCCACTCTAGTCTCTCCTACCATATCTCTTCTGCATCAACCTCCTATTAATTGTGTGTGGTCCATGCTCTTCCCTCTCACTGTCGTTTCTTGCTGTTCGAGTTCCCATGTTTGTACTCGATACCTTGTCTTATTTCTATTATCTTTGATTCCGTGAAAATGAAATGGCTTAAACTGCTCTTACGGTTGTTTGATTTTTTTGCTCCAATCCATTGGTGGGGAGCATCACCTATTGGAAATCGGGTTCAGCGTCCCAAAAACAATGAGTATCTAACATACATCATGAGCTTCATAAGCATAGGTCTGCCTCTTCAGTTCTATAAGAACCGCCTGATCCATCATTAACTTACTAGCATTCCACCAGTCAACTCGAGCTTTGTGAGATCCCAAATCTGTCAGTAAATGATCACCCGTTTATTTTCTCGTTCTTATTCTAGTACCATTTTTATTCCTCCTCTCTCCCAAACCACTTAAGGTCTACCATTGCAAGTTCTGAAGGAGGGAAGAATTCTGGAAAATCGTCAGGATCTTTTAATGTATCATTAGGTCCCAAATTCCACCAGTTATTGTTCACCAGTGTGTAATCACGTTTAAGCGGCATTTCAGAAATAATTTCCACATACCATTCCATTTTCCCAATGCTCATACCCTCTGACTCCCCAAGTCAATCCTTTTGAAATTGTGAGAGAATTTTTTTGATGTCCGTTTTTTTATGCGAAATTTTTAGCTTATTTTTTTTGTTACTCCAGCGAGCTCGGATTTCTATTTCCACAAATTGCTTGACTATGTCCGTTAGTTTTGTCCCTTTAATTCTTACTTCTTCCATAACACGCACACATCTTTTGTGCCATAAGGACTAAAGTACAACTTTCCTACCTAGGTGAAAAATATTATTTTGAAAATTAGATTATGATAGGGTGGAGGGATCCCAATGGCCGATTAATATCGCCCGCCAATCCCAT